ATGCCTCTATACCACATTATTACATTTCTGGATGAGGTGGGGCTCATGGGAGTTACTTTTGTGACTCTATTTATCTATTCTAAGCACTTCTCTTTCCCTTTAGAATAACTGACTGTCTTTTTCGGTGCTGGTCCTACTAAAGGTTGCTTTGTAGAAAGAGAGGACGGGGGGAGAGAAATGATGACTGGGGTAGAATAGTGTACTAAAATTCTTCTATGTCTTTTTGAATGTTGAGTCAAATACGGCAAGAGCCCGAGATAGAATCTCTTTAAAAACAAAACCATGTACATGGCATCCAATCGCACATTAAGAATATATGTCAAATTTGTAGAAGAGATGCTCCAATTGTATGATTGGATGCCATGTGCATAAATGGCTTTCAATTTTCCGAGAGAGGAAAATAAATATACTAATTTTCTTCACACCCAAGCCAAGGCAAATATATCAATTATCAAACATTATATGGTAAACATAATTTACGCAAAAGATATCAAATTGGCCAATAATAATTTCTTATCATCCTTCTGAATATGGAGGCACGGGATCAAACCCGCATAACAGCAGGTTCTTCATGTAAGAGTAATGGACCAAATACCCAAGGCACAATCTGTTCTATCCAAGGTTCAAAGTATCGATACATGCTGATACTCTGGCCTGTATCGATACTTTTTTTAGGTATTATTTTTCTTTTGAAACCGGTTTAAAGGGATCGATTTAAGGCTCGATTACCCTTTGAATCAGTGTCCGACCTGATATAACCCTAGAAGGGCATATCGAAAAACCATGAGCACAATACATATTGAACCTTGGTTCTATCTCCAACCCTTTAATCTCTATAATATTTAATACCAAAAAAATAATGTACCAAAAATGCCGAGCTCAAATAAACTATGATGCATAAATCCGAACCTCGTTAACTTGTCCTGAGGAAGCCTCATTTTTGAAGATCAAGTAGCTAATTAATCATCTACTCAAGAGTTGGCAAAGGTCATTAACCTTGTAAATAATGTAAATAGGATATCTACATAAGGAATTCGATCAATGAATTAGATAATCTTTTTACTTTTTTTGACATGTAAAGCACAATCTTTATACTTCATATGATAGTCAAAGCTGATCCACATGTACTCCTTTTCTTTCTAACCAATGCAAGTGGGTTTGCCAAAAAGAAATTACATAGTAAACAACAGTCTTCTAAAATCCAACCTAGAGTTTGAACCATTCCCGGCCCCCATGGGCCAATAGGTCCAAGCGGTTCAAACATTTGGGTCAATGATGAATTAATAATGTCATCAATAATAACCCACTGAACGGGTGACGGGTCAACGGTTTAACAGCCCAAATAAACAGGTTGCTTATAACCAAGGGGTATTATACAATATTGATGTTTTTGTTTTAATTTGTTTTTGAATCCATTACATCACTAGAAAAAAAAAATAAAAATATGTTCTTGAATTCTGTTTGTTGTTTTCAAAGAAAAAATGAGTTGTTTTTTTTTTAAATCAATAAGTTTTTGAAACCATTAAAATAATGATTTTTTTAAAACAAAAACAAATTTTATAGGGTAGAAATTGTATAATTTGTATGACATGATATTAAATAACCAAATGAAAGCATGTTTTTATTTCAGTTTTGAAAAAAAAAAAAAAAACACTGCACAGCCAATAATATGTTTTTTTTCTTTATTTTTGTTTTGAAAATCGATTAATTTTCAAACCAAATGATTTTGATTTTTTTTTTTTTGAAACCAGCAATAAGAAAAACAATTTACACAATAGAACACCCCCCAAATCAACAGTAAAATAGTGAATTAAAAGATGACCAAACTGGTATTGTAATTAGGCAACACATGGATCCTGTCCAATACTGTGTAAATTCTTTAAATCTTCAAATAGAAAGTCACAATTGATGGGGAGCTCAACATAATTATACTTAATGTTTCATTGCTTGCTTATTTTCTAAGTATTTTAAGCACTCTCAATAAATGATAAGGGAAATCCCATTGCATGATTGTAATGTCGCGTGGGCCACCCAGCTGTGTAACGCCCATGAAGCCAAAATGAATGAATATTAGCAAAATCAAGCTTTTTTGGAATCATCCCATCTGATTTCGCCTCAACCCGAACCCACCCTGCTACTTGATTAGATCAGGGCATGCAGGTGATGTGGAGGCCCATGTTGTCAGATTTGGATAGATGTAAAACCATTTTGATCATTGCGCCATGAATTTGCTGGCAATTGCAAGTGAAACATGACGAAGAGATAAAGTGGAAAAAAAAAAGGTTTTAAAAAACAATCCAGAAAAGAAACCGTTTTGACCATAAATTTTTACGTTGTACGGTTTAACTGTCTGGTTCGAATGGATCAATTCATGATATTTTTTAAAATTAAAAATAATTAAAATAAAAATAACTTAAAAGCTATTTCTCGAACTCTCAGTTGAATAGATCAACTGTTATTCAACAGTGTTTTTTTGTGGATAATAAAATCTGGGTCAAGTAAGAAAAAAAATGACCAATGGACCAGCCGAGTCAATGTCAGTTTTCAATAAAACCAGGAAGAAATCTACATGAAAATGGAAAATGCTTGAATCCTACCCGGTTGAAGTGCATACATCTGACCAAAACCATTCTACAAACCAACTCCAAAGTTTAAGAGTTTAAGATTTGAATCTGAGGCTCCGTTTTTTTTTTTTTTTGGTGATATAAACAACACTGAATCAGGGTATTTATGTATCTCGGTTCACGTTTACAAGTATTTGTTTGATATATAAAAAAATAATAATTATCATATTAAAAATGTATTTTCTAATACTTTTTACTTTAAAAAAAGAATATTAATATATCTATTTTTTAGATATAATTTTACATTTTTTTGATAATTAACTTTCTTATTAAAATTAAAACATTAGAGTATAAGATAGTTGGAGCATTTAATAATGAACCCATACTTTGCACTGATTTCAAACAAATAACATAAATATAAAAACAATTTAAAATATAAACTGTTCGTTCAACATGAAATCCAAGAATTGCGCAAACTACAATTTCTGCGCAAACTACAATTTAAAATATAAACTGTTCGTTCAACCCGACTAGCCCACATCGTAGACATCTGCGCGTTTCAAAAATGATTAATGGCCTAATGGGCCTACAAACTACAATTTCTGGTCCCATGGCTAATTGGCTAGACCTTTTCCCATGCACTAGACACGTTTGACCAGAAGATCCCATACACCAATGTCTACACATTGGACTCATCACACCTATCCCATCCGTACCGAAGCGGGTCCCACTTAAAGAATCACATCGTACGGCTGAAAATCCTCCAAGGCATCATTCATCAACGGCCCACCCGTTTTTCCGACAGGATTCCACCGTACGTACTTAATGGGCGTATATTTCGCGTAATTCGCTCCAATAATTGTTATTTATAATTTCCCCCATCCGTTCCCGACAATTCACACAGCGGAAGGTACGTTGCCTTGCTTCAAATTTCCATTTTTTTTCACTAACACGCAGCAATATATACTCTCTCCTCGAAAATCATAAAACAAAAAAGTAAAAAAGCATGTTAAAGTCTTCCTTGTTTGGTACGGATTTCTAACTTCCCGCCAAAAAGAACCCCGGGAAAACTGTCAGTGGGTAATGAGTCTCTCTGTATTGCCAGTTGCCAGTTGACACCATTTACCTTGACCAAAAATAAAATTAATTACTTAAATTCTCTAAGTTTAATAATTAAGGGGTGATCTCGATAAACCCCAATTTTCATAACGGGTGTATTCTCAATTAGTAGTTAAACTTGTGGTTTAAAAGACAAACTAGCCCCATTCAGTTAAACATTTGTCAGTATAATTAGGGTTAGCTTCTGTCTTTTTGCTCAGATTACCCGACTCATTTATACTTTTAAAGCCCAAAAGTACAAAGTGTTTTGGCTTCATATTATAGTGTTATCAAAAGCAATACTTATCAAATGCTTGAGACACTTTTTGCCTCAATTTTGTTTTCAAAGCCCAAATCTCTAAAGCAGAAACTTATCCAAACAAAGATTTAATATTTCAAATCAAAGGAAGACTACGCTTTTAATGGGTAATTAAGTTTCAAATCAATGCCATTAGTCTGTAATTAAACGTTTGATAATCCGATGAAATGTGATTAAGCTTTTGCAGGTAATAATCCAGCTCCAGCAAGTAGAATTTGAAAAGGTCGGAATGTCAGAAATAAAGAATTTCTAACCGTTTCAACTTGGTGGAGAGGAATTTCTTGTGATGCTTTTTATAAAGCTTATGTGAAGAACAAAGAGCATCTATCTAATTAAAGTATTAAGCCTTAACCTTTTGTTTCAATTTGAGAGTCTTGCTTGATTTAGAGGCAGAGGGAATCAAGCGGCTTTTCCCAATGAAAGAGGAAATATTATGTAATTGATCAAAACCCTACTGCCAAAAATGAACGGTTCTGATTGAAGGGTTGATGAGCCCATCTTTTATGATCAAGCATCGGTACATTTAATGTTTTGGCACCAATCCCTTTGTCGGTTCGGTACTGTAAAATTGCAAGTATTTAAAGGGTTATTTGGTAGAAGTAGAGATGGTCCAAATGGATGGTTGAGATTTTTCAAATGAATCGAAATTGGGTAGATCTTAGGTGGGACCGGTACTCCCATTAATTCTTTATGAGCTCGGCGTTGTACTTGAGGAATTTCTGACCGTTTGATTGCATAAGATACAGGGATCTTTGACTCAGAATTTCATGGGTCCCGCAAGGGTTAGTCAAGTCATAATTCAAACAAATTATCACGACCGTCCAATATATCATTCTCTTTTAGAAAACTTTCCTTTTCACTTAATTGGCAAAAGTATTGATTGGATGGTGACGGTTCACCGTTCGATCTGTTAGGCGGGGCCCATCACGTAAGAGTGGAGTTCTGATCATCCTGGCTGTACTTGCGTCAGTTGCAGCATGAGCTGATGAGCAAAATATATACATAGCTTGCTGCTCAGCTCAGCTGCTGTCCTCCAGCCCTGAGCCTAAAATTATTCATTCTCTAATTTAATATTCAGATCCTTTGTGTAGCTTCAGAAGATTTCACGGTGGATTAGCGACAAATAAGCTCTGCAATTAATGGAATTCATATCTCCATTCCCCAGAAGACCCACAAATCCCAAATCCAAATAGTTACAAGGCTAGCCTCCACTGAAACTTCATCTCCCCAAATGTTTCATAGCCTTCAGTTCATGTCTGTCTAGAGCAACCCAGCTTACAAGGAAGAGAAACCAAAAGAAGAAAACCTCCATTTCAGCTCTGAGACCAGTTACCAGTTTCATTTTCGTATCTTTTCTTCAATAATGGCAGAAACTGAAAATCCTAGAAAACCCAGCAAGAAAACCCACCAGGATCAGAATCTGCAGTCCCAGAAACCAACGGAAAAGCCACCCCCTTGGGCAGTTGTTAGGAGTCTGTTTACATGTAAGCATCTCCAACCAGTTGAACAGCAAGCTGTGGAGGGGAATGGTAAAAAGCACAAGAAGATGAAGTGTTCTGGTTCTCTCTGTAACAACACGAAAGTAATGCAAAGGCCTGAATCGTCTTCTCCTGAAGACTGTAAGAAGTGGGCTTCAATATGTTCTTCAACCACCACTGCTTCTAGCAGATCCTTGAAGGTTCCTTTGAATGAGATCAATGGAGCTGTACCTACTCCTTCTTCTTCTTCTTCGTCATCCTCGTCTCTGCTGTCTTCTGGTTCTTCTGTTGGTGGGTCATTTAGGAGCATGCCTTTGAGGAGACTCTCCGGTTGTTATGAGTGTAGAGCAGTTGTTGATCCCATCAGCGGAGTCCCCAAAGATCCTGCTCTTAGAACTACTGCTTGTTCTTGTCCTGAATGTGGAGAGATTTTCACGAAAGCTGAGAATTTAGAAGCCCACCAAGCTGTTCGACATGCAGGTAATGCATCAAGTCTCTGTTACATGTGTTTTCTTATACTAATTTTTATTTCTTTAATTTGTCAGTGTTTCTTCTTCTGTTTCATTATTGATTAAGAAATAATCTCGATTGGTTTTTCCTTGTGTAAATCATTGGAAGCTAAAATTTTATTTTATTGTTTCAGAAATCCTAGGTTCATATACCAACAACCATTTGATTTTCTTTTTTCTAGTTCTGGTTCCGGTCTTTGGATTATCAAAAACCATTTCAGAAATCTAATGCTCTCCCTCTTCTTGGATGTAAAAACCACAGTATCCGAACTGGGTCCTGAAGATACCAGCAGAAACATAGTAGAGATTATATTTCAATCAAGTTGGTTAAAGAAACAAGCTTCAGTTTGCAAAGTAGACAGGATCCTGAAGGTTCACAACAGCCAGAAGACCATCACCAGGTTTGAAGATTACAGAGAATCCATTAAAGCCAAGGCAAGCAAACTTGCAAAGAAGCACCCAAGATGTGTAGCAGACGGCAATGAGCTCCTAAGGTTCCACTGCACAACCTTTGTCTGTTCAATTGGTATGAATGGGTCCTCCAACCTCTGCAATTCAATCCCCCAATGCAACGTCTGCAGTATCATAAGAAACGGGTTCAAGATCCCAGCCGGCGATGCCGGCAGCGCGATCTGCACAACAGCCACCAGTGGAAAAGCACACGACAACGCTCAAATAAAGACCGACGACGACAAGCGGGCAATGTTGGTCTGCAGAGTGATCGCCGGCAGGGTGAAGAGGACCCAGGACACCAATTCAGAAGAGATAATGAACCAAAAGAATTCCGAAGAGTTTGATTCAGTCGCCGGCCCGACCGGAATCTACTCGAATTTGGATGAGTTGTATGTGTTCAATCCCAAGGCTATATTGCCATGTTTTGTTGTCATTTACAGAGGCTTTTAGTGGTTCAAAGCTCTGCTATTTTACACACACATTTGGCTAAGTAATCCTTGTTTTTGTTGCTCAATTTATCATGATTCAATACGCATTTCGCCTTTTTACTTGTTCTGTAATTTTGTTCTCTTGCTAGTTCATTGATTTACTGCAATTCTGGATCTTGATTTGTGTTCTTTGTTTTATTAGCTTAATTTTTTGACTCTTCTTTTGTGTCTTCTAGTTTAATTTGGATTTCGTTGGATACAATTAGGGGCTTAATTTGGGTTTTGAGAAGAGATAATACAGCCTTGGTGGAAACCCGTCCTATCCGGTTTTTGTCTGGATCTGCATGGCTTTTGCTGTCTTGTTTTGCCCGAACCAAGTTGGACCGGAGTGGGCATCCTGTCAGATACCCTGTTTCTCTTTCTTTTACGTGTGCGCGTGTGCTTTTTGCCAGATTTGGCTGTGTTACTCTTCATGGGTGGCAGTACTGCTTTATGGGCTATTGGTTCGGTCTCTTCAAGCTGAAGTTTGGGTTATATGGGCTATTGGTTCAACTGTTGGGTCAGCTGCTGACAATTGGTTCATCATATAATTAAAACGATTTAAAAAAAAAAAACGTTTGACAAAGAGCACAATTTTGAATTTTATAATAAATGTTCATTTTATGTATCAAAGTTGACAAAGTGTGTCACCCAAGGTTTTTGTTTTCGAAAAACCTAATAATTCCAAATTTTGGGTTGAGGGTTGGCCCCATCCACCCGGTCCAAGAGATTGGTCGCCCTCTTAGGGCCTGGTGACAGTACAAGGCTCCAAGTGATGTTGGGTCTAGCACAAATTCTAAACCACTGGCCACTTCTTGCAACCCACTTCTAGGGGAGTGCAGATTGCATTCCCCATGTATGGCTGACGTGGAGTGTTGTTATTGGTTAGATAGATCCTAACACTGCATCTCTGATGTGGGGCGTTATTATTGGTTATATAGATCCTAACACAGCCATCAATTACAGCTAATTTGGTCTCTTTCAAGTGGCTTTTGGGTCAAATGAGATCAGATTCAGTCCTCACAAGACCATGTTCACATTGTATTCAGTCACTTGTGAGTCCGGATCTGTTCCTCATACCAACCTTATAGCATGTTTCAGCTGCACATGGGAGATGTTTCCAATACATGGTAGGATATGACTTTGAGGTCAGTGTGAAAAGCGCTTTGTGAGGAACAGATCCCATCATGTCACTTGCAATGGTGTATTAAAAATATCTCCTTACTTGTATGTTTTTATTCATGAAAAGATATCTTCAATACACAGCTGCAAGTGGCTATGAGGATAGTATGAACACGGTCTTGTGAGTACTGAATCCGAATTGTGGCAACATGGGCTAGTTACGGATCTCGACCGGCTTACCCGGATTCGACTGAACAGTACTGCTCGTCTGCCATCATCATCTACTAAACGCCATGGCCTCAGACCCTGGTCATAAGACTCACAAACCCTAGCCTCTAAAACCCCTTTTTTTCTTATAGGCAAAAAAGCCGGATCAGACCAGATGAACCAGACAATTCCATAAATAGCCGACTCAGTCATACAACTGGGCCAGGCTGGACAGATAGAATCAGTCCCTGAGACACAAATTTAGAGGACATTACAAATGAAATCATTCCCTTGAGTATGAAGCCAGTGTTCCAAGGAGATGAGGTTCTTTTGCAGCACTAATTGGTAATAGATTTACTGCAGGTTCGGTCAAGCCCGAGTTGGGACCCATGAGATTTTGTGCCGAGCCAAGTCCGAAAGCCATTGTTTGATATTGGTTAACTGGTCCCCTATGATAATTAACCAAGTGCTAGCTTTACTGCGTTCCCATGCAAAGATTTCTTATTCCCTACCTTCTGCATGTGTAATTGTCGCATTTACTCTCGTCCAAACAGTAAAAAGAAGCATCCATACCTGGAAAAAGCTCTATGAAAGCTCATGGAATTCTACAAAAAGTTGATGGCTTGGCTGCAACTGTGCACATGGCTGAGAAAAGCTTGTGGTACTGTTTGTCTGGTAGGGGGAGAGCTGAAGTTGAGCCACGCTGAAAGCAATGCATAGACTGGAGTAGAGAAGCAGCTCCTTGTTATGGGGCGGGGACCCTTAATATCTTTAGTGAGGCTCTCATCCCTGCAATCAATACCCAATAGGGACAAGGATTTAATATTCTGCACCAGTTGAGGGACCCACTCAACATTTGTGGGGTTGGATCCGGTAGTAGCCCTTGCAAGGTCAGAGTCAGATGGTTGGACCACTCTGGCTGAATTGACTGGGGTCCTACAATTTTGGGTTAGGGTGTTAAGAATGCTGGGACCATCCAAACCATGCGGCAGGGGCCCCTAATAGCAAGCATCGGATGGGGTGCGGGCTGTTCCTGCCACATACGTATAATTATTTAAATGGGATGGTGTACTCTTTGAGCTAGAGCCTGGAGTAGTCGAGTGCCTGAGAAAGTGTTGTGCCACGCCTAGAGCCAACAACTCAGAGTGGTCTTGATGTTGCCACATATGAGCATGACTCTTTGGTATTAGGGCCTACTACTGTTGAATGGTCTTCACCTTAGCTAAAGCCAAGAGAGAGCAGATCAAATGGATTTCTGGCTTTCTATATTAACAGAATATATTACATTGGGGATTAATTAAGGGGTGAGGATAGAGAAGTGCGTATGAAGTCCTACTGGCCTTATCATGGAGAGAATGCAATTATGCGGATTTGATCTTATGCCTCTTTTGGGAGAGACGCCTACGGCTGTCCATCAAAACCGAAAAATCAAATTGAATCGAGAAAACCGAACTATAAAATATGGTTAATTGAATTGATCGGTTCATTTTCGATTTGGAATTTTTGAAAAATCGAAGGATTGGTTCGATTTTCGATTAACCTAAAAAAAACTGGTGGTTAATCGAATTAATCTATATATATTATGTATATTTTAATATATTTACATATTTTCTATATATTATATATAAATATATATTCATTACATATATAAATATATACTTATATTATATTTATAATAATCTATTTATAAATATATTATATATCATTTATTATTTATATTATAATATTATACATATATTTATATAATATATATTATAAATATAAAAAATTGAAAAACAGAAGAACCGAACTGGTCAAAAACTGAAACCGGTAGACCAGTTAACCAGTGGTACCAATTTGATTTCTGTTTGGAGAAATGGAAAAACCAGTACCATCGGTTCAGTTTACAAAGTATGCCCATTGTTTGATTAATCGAACCATAGACCATGGTTTTTAAAATCGACCCGGCGACCGAACCGGTCTGGGGTCTAGTTACTGGGTTGAACGGTCCAATCGTTCGACCTGAACGGTTGGCCCATTCTAACAAAAAAAATAATAAATAATAAACAATTTGAAAAATGACAAAAATGGTTCAAACAGTTTAAACAATTAACCAGCCGGTTCAACAGTTTGCTGACCAAAATCAACGGTTTCCAATCCAGTTTTGAAAACCATGCCATAGACACCTCTAGAGACACCATGTGACCATCCTGGCCAGTGGCAGTGAGTAATTGACAAGGTTCAAAATATTAATACATTATACCAAAAAATTATCCTGCATGTCAGCTGTCCAATACTCTCTCTCTCTCTCTCTCTTATCGGCTTCAGATATCCCTATTTTGGGTCTTGAGATCAGACTAGATAATCAGATTGAATTCGGGTCCCCTTATTTGAAATATATAATATGTTATTTATATTGTATTTTTGAAATTTTTTTATATTATTTATTTTTTATAAAAAGCATGTATATATATGATAAAAATAGTTAAAAATGTCTATATTTTTTATTTTTCTTTATTTAAACTGTTATATTTTCTTTTCCTTTTAATAATTTATTATTTTTTAAAAAAATGAAATTGGATTGGATCGGATTTAGATATCTGACATCTTGATCAAATTCAAATTAAAATCAATATTTATGAGGTCCAATTGGATCTTTAGATCGGATCCGGTCTGATCTATAGTATATCGGAACGGATTTGAATGTACTCTTATTCAAATCCGATCTAAACTGTTTGCATCCCTACTTAACAATAGGTTTGTTAGGATGGATATTAACAAGTCAAACCATTAATATCCCCAAACTCTTAGGGCCTGTTTGTTATTCGGATTTTTGAGAGGGGGAAGTCGGTCATTGGGATTTTGGTTCATATTAACCGAGATATCCATGTTCTTTTTTCAGATTTATGTGGGGTTCATGGAATATTCATTTTCCCTAAGTACCCATCTCCCAAGTGGATAAATAACTGTCCCCCTGCAAACACTTTAGTGGGACAAAATTGCCCCTTTTAATAATAGTTTTTTTATGGATAAAATTGTCATTGTCTTGTTTACCTAGGAAATAAAAGAACATGTGTAAATGCACTTATTTAGGTAAGTAACTTCCTGAAAAATGAACGGGGTCTTAGCTCAAACTATCAAACCTTGGTCATGAGCAAATGAGTTTCTAAACCAAGACTTCATTTATTTGTTGTACAATTTTATTTGTACTAGTACAAATGTATGGAAGCATTTGCTTTGTGTTTTATTTTACTTTGTTTCATGTTTTGTCTTAGAGGTGAGAAAAGGGTTTGGTTCTACCTAGAACCAAGTGGAATGGACCTTGCACTAGCCTCAAATCGACCCTACACAATCTATTACCGAATAGGGTCCAATTCCAAATTCTTTAAGCCAACTCCACCCAAGCCAATTCCAGAGCTAGAGGCTTATCCTACTAGAATTGGCCTAGAGAGCTCACATTGATTAGCCTTTGTGGAACTAGCCTTGAAACCAAACTTGTCTTAAAATAAATCCCAAAATACTTTGAGGATGTAAAGATCTGAGTCCAAACACTCATTTTTACAAAGATCATGGTCTCACTTAACCACTAAGCCACTTAAGTGAATTGATAATTTTCTTAAATTTAATATTTGAAGGTGTATAATAGGTAATGTATAATATTTTAATGTGTATAATAATTTTATTGACAATATTTAAATTATAATGATAAGTTTTAAACTATTTATTAATATATTATGATAATCTATGGTGAAATTACTCAATTTAATCAACAAAGGTAATTTAAGTTTTAAATTATATCTTGCTATCATTAAAAATCAAGTTTAAAAATT